ATAATCTAAAATAAAAAAATAATCTATTAGTATCACTAACCTTTGATGTATATTGATGACCTGAAGTTATATACAAATTAATGTGAAATTTCTATCTTGATATTATTGATATTTAAATATGTTTTATAAGATTTTACTTAATTTTATATAATTTTTATTATTTGTGTGAAAATGGCTTCTTTGAAAGAAATCATAACTTTTAGTGTACAATTGCAGAGATAAAAAAGCTGAGGATTAAGTTACTCGGAATTCAGAAGTTAGAGATCAGGACTGTCATTTTATCATTAACGAAAATTGCATTAAAAGCCAAAAACAGAGACGCCTGACCAAAGTTGTCGGCACCTTGTTGAGGATGTTGGCTCTTATGCCATTTTCGGCACATCCGTGCCCTTACTTGTAAAATAAAATCAGAGCTATTCGTGATCAACAAAATAATACATCCGGAGGTCCTACATTTTTGGAGTTGTTCGTTCACAGTTACATGGTAGAACAGATTGAAATCATTCATGATCTTGCATTGGAGAAATTTTTTTTTGAAAGTGACTACTCAGAGCTAGTGGCTTGTATGAATAGTCTATGGTGTGGGAACACTGGAATTGACAGACTAACCTTCAAATATGAGTGTGGTCTCAGCAACGCATGAAGTTAGATTCTTTCCAAGTATCGTCAGGGATTGGAATAGTTGGTTGATATGGTAAAAATACGAATTGACAGAGATCGACTAACGACACTGAGTTGGAGAAGTAAATTTCGAAATTGTAAATAACAAACACCATTCACTCCACTCCTCCATAAATATATAATTAACGTGGATTGATTTCTCACTCCCCCTATCCCATATTATCATTTTACTAATAATTAATTTATTGAGATTTATGGTACCTCTATTTAATCTTAGTATACTAATACTTCATCCAAATTTTGGGAACGAATCTTATACATTTTAACGAGTGAAAAAAGTCAAAAACCTCATTGAATTTTTCCTTTTTCTTTTTCTGAATGCGGTATAACTAGCAATTATAAATCAAGCACATGTCAATTAGTCAACAAATCAAAACTTCAAAAAAAATCAGTAACTAGACAACCTCACAATTTGACACATACAAGTAACAGATAATAATCATCCAATGCTCTAAACCAATGATGAGGTTAGATACGCCTGTCTAGTAAAGTGGACTCACAGTAGTTTTTGATCCAAGCTCTACTGAAGGATGTATGATATTATTATGGGCAGAGAAGGAATGCCCTGACAGATGATTTGCCTCACTAATGATCTGAAATATTAAAAGAATAAGCTCAACTCAATGGAACAAAAACTGCAATAACAAGTAAAACTTGGTAGTTTGAGATAAGCAGGCCCAAATAAGAAACACATAAACTCACATCTCGATTGATATCCATGAATGCTTGAATGGAATTCAATCGCACACAGTACTTGCAATTGCTGGCAATATAAGCACAACATTTAATTTTTTTCCAAATAGGAGCAGAACCATTAGAACCCAACTCATAGAGTTCATAAAAGCTTGGGGTAGATGCATTAGCAATTATCCGAGAGAGAGTTGCTTGGTTATTCTGGGTATTGATCTTCTGGTTTCCATTTTCTTCCACAAGTGGTGCATATTTTAGTGCCTTTCATTTCTGATGCTCAAGAAACAATCATAAAAAGACTAAGTTAGAGATCTAAGGAAATTGTACAATAACATCCTTGTATTCTGGGGCCTTATTCTACTAACCAGCTGGCTTTGAACAAGATATGGAAGTACATCCTTTTTTAAGCTTTGAAATGTATCCTTTTGATCAAGAACTTCTTGCAAAACAGATCTGGAGAGATATGAGGATTCAGTAAAAGAAAGGCACACTGAATTTGTAGGAGCAACAACAGCAAAAGACAAACCTTTTGAATGCATTCATAGGAGCATCCATAAGATCAAATCTAATTTCCACCTATACAAGGATACAACAGAAAATTCGATTAACAACCAAACATCCAACATGTGAATATTCTGGTGAACTTTGAAATTGAACTCGTGGTCCTCTTAGGTTAATTTAGTAACTCTTTTTATTGGGAAACATGAACACACACCCAGACAGAAGACACTTCTGGGTGATCAATTGCTGAAAGAGTTCTATTTAATGGAAGGATTGCTTGCATGCTATTACCTGGCCAAGTGCACGTGGAATGGTCTTCTGAATTCGAGTATCTTTCTCAATTTCACCTCCTGCCAAGGGTTGCATGTTGCAATGTCAGGTCATATAACATGCCAAAAAATAGAAAAACTTTGATATCTAACCTGTTGCAATGCATAACAAAAATTGTTTAGTAGTGTCTTGGCCAATGATGTCACATCGTCCAGGTTTCTTGATTTTATCCTTTCCACCACCAGATCCTGACTCCAAAGCTCCACTGACAGGAGCAGAGCAAAGCACTGCAGTCACCGCTGCACCATGACGTCTATGAGAAGCCACAACTGCACCAGGAGGAACATCAGAAACAAGATCACCACTTACAACCTGTAGGAACATGAAGTATGCTTCAAAGTATAACTTTTATCACATAAGCCAACTATTATGAAGGATAGCTGTAAGGATAGGTCCCAAGGTCCTGAACCTCGGACGTACTGCTACAATTCTTTAATAACCAAAGTGAAGTTAAATCCAGCACTTTTCGATCAAATGGCTGCACGATAAATACAGTAGAAGTGCCCACACCTGATTTGTCACACACAATTTCTCGGTCCCAAAATTACCGCCTGAAGGGATACATCACACTCCGATTATCCTATTAAGCAAGCCACGTGGACATCTCACGAAGGCCTATAAATACCCCCCAGGGACCACCTCAAAAAGGTAATTGAAAACCAACCTAAAGCTCCTTTTTCATTACACTAGAGGTAGATCCGATTATTGCTGACTTAAGCATCGGAGTGTCTACCCTAAGGACCCACCTCGAGGCTTTGCAGGTTCATCCAAAATGAAGACGCAGACTGAAAAAGGATCCCTGGTTTGGTGCAACTTTTAGCATTGGACAAGACAGTGGTTTTAGGCAAGAAGGGCATAAGAGGAATTAAGATAAAAAGTGAAGTTTTCATTTAGGTTTTTAACAGCAAGAGTGTTTTGTTACTCATTTCAAAATATAGGTGTTTAAGTGCACTTTTTGATATCACAGGCCTTTAAATGCACTCACCCTAAATCACAAGTAGGTTAAGTGTAATTTCCCCTACTTAAAATTGGATGCATGGTGCATCCAACTACAACTTCTCCATCTCTATCCAATTAAAAAGAAAAAGAAAAAGTTACAATCAATGTAATTAACTTAAGTGCTAAACTATAATACAGAGAATGAAAAATAGGGAAATCGTAACGATTCAGTTATACCTTTCTCCATGTTCCTCAAAGTATTCTCATTCTCCAAATCAGAAGCTTGTTTTTCTCTTGACCTTAACCAATCTTGGGTATAAATTAGTGCCTGAGTCATCCTTGGGGTTAAAGAGCTCCTAAGTGGATCAAGAACTAGACCCCCAATGCTAAATGCAGCTTCAAAAGCCACAGTAGAGATTGAGACAACCAACACATCCCTAGCCATTGAAGCTAGGATGGGAAACCTCGGACCATGGACTTCCACCACTTAAGAATGTCAAACTCCTCATCAAATGGCTTTATTTCATCACTCAAGTACACTTCTCAGCATTACATTCAATTTCTTCTTTATACCTTGAATATTCATTCATTACGTATGTCCTCCTCTATTTAGGTAGCTTAGGCTCCTTCATTGCAAGGTTACCTACATTCTAAATTGATTTTGGGTAGAAGCTTAGCCTCCAGTATGAAAAAATGAAAAGAAAAAAGAACTATTAGTTAAGTTATATAATTAAAATTTATAATATTCCAACCTTTAACTATAAATTATAAAGAGCAACATAAAAGAATCATCCCTTTAAACCAAAACTAATATGCTAACCTTTCCAATACATTGTTAGAATAGTGTTGGCGCTTGTATGCTACAAACAACTTGAAGCATTCAGCTCTCACCATCTCCCCATAAGCTCTACCCTTAACCTCACCAAACATCCTTACCATCAAAAATTACACAAAGCCAAGCTTGTGCCTTGGGTCCAAAACTATAGCAATGAAGATGTTCTTATTCATCTTCAAAGGATCACCTCAGTACTTGTCATACTTATCCTTCATTTTCGTAACCATTTGACTCAAATTAGCATCATTTCCCCACAGTTTAAGAAGCCTGTCCACTTCACAAATTATTGGAAAATATAAGTTTGAAGTGGTATACAAACTTCTAGAAACTTTCTCTATCATAAAATAAAATGGTTCCAGAAACATCACTAGCCTCCTTATGCTTTCCCAATCGATACAAGATGGGAACTTGAGACTAAATTTCAATTCAATCCTCATGGTTGGATCATACCTTGAATACCTTCAAATTGTACAACAAAAAACTATTAGAATGATAGCAATATATGAAAATACAAGACAAAAACTAAATTATTAGATTGATTATAATTTATAATAATAAAATAATATAAAAGGAATATAATTAAATTAATAAAATGATGACAATACATGAAAATAAGCCAAGTAAACTTCTCAAATGGATAAAACTAACTTTTCAAGTGCCATTTCAAACTTCTCTATACTATCAAGCATTAGGTATAAAGAATTCCATCTATGTTGCACATCCAAGGACAACAGCTTCTTGGCGTCAATTTTTTTAACCTCGACATCATTTTTGTTTGGGAACTCTACCTAATATATTTGCAACTAGCTTCCACAAAAGCAATGGAATTATGAAGCAATGGAATTATTCATCAACTTGGCTCCATCTTGTACAACCAATTTAATGACATGTGTTGCACACCTCATGTGCAGTTCGTCCCCACCTAGAACACTTGTACCCCACTTATTTAAAGCATTCTTAAGTGCCCTCATAACTTGATCATTAGAAGATGCACTATCAACAGTTATTGTATACACCTTCTCAAGTCCCCAATCCCTTAAACAAGTTTCAACTAAGTCATCTAACTCTTCTACCTAATGAGAACCAATAAGGTAGAAATTAAGTATTTTCTTATTGTCATAACCTGATTTTTCATTCAGCTTATTTAAACTTTTCATATAAAAAAA